ATGCCATTCACACACCAATGACATCACCTAACAATGCATTTTTCAGATGTAACCTCATCATTAAGTGATGCATGACTATACATTTTTATATAACTATATATACATATTTCTGCCAATTTTTTATCCTGAAAATCGTCAAACAGAATACTATAAAAAAAGAATGTCATGAACACTCATATACTCCCAATGAGTCAATAATTCTTGACATTTTAGTATACTTTATCTCTCCCTATCTTTTCCTTTCACTATACGATTTGAAAGGATGATGGACGACACTGTATCGCTTGGCTGCCTCTGCACGCATCTCCCAAGAGTAAACACAATCTATACCACAACGACCCTGTCACTACACCTAAGAAAGCTCATAAATCCATTAATTGCAGGTTTTTAATTTTCATATTTTTAATTGTATTATTTTTTCAGTGAACACTGGTTTACAACACTGTATGATTCAGAAGTACAGGTTCACAGCTCTTCAGATGTGTGTGACTGCACCACACCCACCAGCGAAGCCCCCACTGTCTTCCAACACAGTCCATTGCGCCCCTCCCCGCTTCGTGTTATTCTGAATTATGCTCTAGTAAAACATTTATCAAATTCTTGGGGGTTCTTAGACTAACGTTTGAAAACTATTGTTCTGGAATACAGACCTATCTTACTATAGGAAAAGCAAATAACAAAACTTAACTCCTCCAGCACACACACATAGATCCAATAGTCTTGTGTATCAAACCCATCTCACAGTGGAATACCTGCACACAGAGATACACATTAAGGTCTGTGGATTGGTTAATATCCCTTAGTAATTGGCAAGCTGGTAAGTGGGCCGATGTGAACACTTCTGTCCTAAAGTTCTCAGTTTGAATATCTGGTAACAGCTTTTCTTATTAGGCTGGTTTTCTTAGGCAGATCAAAAGGGTGCTTAAACAATAATTACTCTTGGATCCCAATAAGTGTAAGTACAGGATATTGCATTGCCAGGCACCACAAAAACATCAATGTGCTACATCTTCCTTAAGCAGACATCATTCATCACTTAAGAAAACCAACAATTAGGTTGAAAACACAAGTGCTAATAGAGAATAGTGATATCCACTAAAATGCACAATTTATTTCAGCAACATCACTTTTAAGAAAGTGACTTACTTGGAAACTCACTTAAGCGGGGCCATTAAAAACTTGAAGTGTCAACATTCTTGGGAAATGGAGTCTATTAGCCATGCAAATGTAAAAGTGCCTCCTCGGCCTGGGCCCGGATGGTCCTGCTCAAGTCTGGTATCTCAGTTACACAAGAACCTCTTCTGGCCATTTAGGCATAATGATAATATGTGTGTGTGTTATATATATATATATATATATATATATATATATATATATATATATATATATATACTCCTAGTTCTCGCTCTCTCTCATGCACACACACACACATACTCTACCTTGTGTCTGAGACTGGAAAAAAGACCATACTATTGCCTAGTCTTAAAGACTGGCAGCTGGCATTTCTTTTAGACAGACATCTGAAATGGCTTTTGTTTTAAAGAAACGTCAGCAAGGATTTCAAGGGTTAAAAAGCAAATATTTCAAGGGTCAGGTAACACAACTCATTGTGACCCAGCCCCTCCTTCCCCAGTCTGATCTGAGCCAAAAGCCACATGTTAGGGAGTCACCTGTGACTCTGAAGGGAAACTAGAGCTCTTGTAGCCAGAGGGAAAGGCGTTCCCATTGCCATGGACTGTCCCCCGACTCTGAATTACAGGGCAGGAGAAAAACCAGTCGCCCTCTACCTGCCACAGAATGAGCTAAGCAGAACAGTTACCAGAGCCAGTGGTTTTCAAATATTTTTGACTGTGACCTGAAAAAGAAGTGCATTCTACAAAGTCACCCAGTTCCGACATGCAGTAGATAAAAAACCAAAGCAAGTCTTCCAAATTGACATTGTGACCTGATATTCTACTGCCTGTTCAACTTCACATTCATGAATTCCTAGAGCACTGCTGTGTCTGGAGTTTTCCATACAACATAGTATTTTGGGGATTTGTCCATGTTTTTGCAGGTATTGATAGTTCGGGGAGGGGTTGTTTTGATTTTAAATTAATATTTTTCACTGCGGTAATGTTGGTTTATAATATGTTTCAGGTTCACACGTCATCAGATGCATGTGACCGCACCATGCCCTCCCACCAAAGCACCCACCGTTCTCCACCCTAGTCCACTAGGTCCCTTTTGCACAGTATTCACCACCCCTACCCTCTCTTTCTGGAAGCCTCAATTCTGCAGAAAGATTTCTAGCCTTTGTTTGGGTCTGCTTTTGTCTGTTGTTTGCTTTGTTTCTTTATATTACATATATGAGTGAAATCATTCACTGAAATTTCCATTCAGTGGAAAATTGTACATTGTTTAGAGCATATACTTCTTGGTTGGTTCAGATATTCACTGCTGTAAATTGTGTATAACTGATAGCAATGCAAAATCATTCTTACCTAGAGACATGCAAAGAAATTCTGGCGGAGATTCAATTGACTACACTCCCCAACTGTAGAAGTCAGTTGTGTCTCCATTTACACTTTGATTTTAATATTCCTGACATATAAAATGTATGTTCTTTGGATTGTCCTCTGAAATGGTTATAACATCTTACCAGTTCCCTCATTATTAATGAGTTAAATAAAATCTCTAACAAATGTTCATTTTATAATCAGTTGTATGCAAGCAATAATTTTATCTTTTTTGAAAAATTATTCTTTAGCCCATGGTTTCCATTTTTTCTACTACAGAGGATGCTACGACCCTTATTGCACATTTATCTTTATGTCAAAGTCTCTCAGAAGACTAAGAAGTCCTCCCACTTTCTACATGCGGCAAATTAAACCAACTTTGAGGAATGGATACAAGTTCAGCTCCATGAAGGAATAGCGGATGAATACAGACAGCACTTACATGTCTTTAATGGGAAAAGGTCAGGATAGGCTCAAATGAGAGAAATAAAATTAATGGTGGAATTGCAAGCATGGAGAGACAGAACGAATACGGGACACCTTTGCTTGTTGGGCATCAACTATTCCTAAAGCACTGTGTCAGTCACTGAAGGACAGAATCTTTGCCATCAAGAAGCTCAGGTTGTTGGGGAGAGAAATACTTAAGCCATTAAAATAGTAATACGCCAAGTGGGAGCAAGACAGTTTATCAATCTCTGGTCCTCAGGTTATTATGGTCTCTGAAAACTTGCAGAATACCTGGAAATGCTTTCACATGGAGACAGCCTTTTCTATCCAAAAGATAGAAGAAAATTAAGTCTTGATCTTCATTCTTTCCACATTAAAAACATTCGTTATGATAACAAAGAAATATCTGAAAGAGTCATTAAACTGCTTGTGGGTGGAGGTGGGAATGGACTTGGCAGTTTCTCCATTTCTAAAGGTACTCAAATCCTGAGTTAAGGAGAGGATAAAATGCATTCATACACCTTGTGCTACCTCAGGGGCCAGTTCAGAAAGCAGAAGCCATGCTATGCAGCCAGGTATTAAAGAAGTTAGAGCACAGAAATTAATCATGAACAGTAGGGCTATTGAAAGAAATAGGAAAGACAAGATCAAAGAAGGTGCCACCAAAGATCAAGGAAACAGCTGGAAGCACCAAGTGACTGATTTTGAAACAACCTTTTCCAATTTAAGTTACTTTATTTTCAATTTCATCTTTCTATCTAATGTCAGTATTTTTGTTGTTTTCTTGTATAAATCACAGTTGTTTATATGCTTAGTTATATGCCAAAATGTTCAAATTATGCCATGAAAGAGTGAATTATGCAATATCAATGCATTATTAGGGTCACGTTACCATATTTTCACTATACCATCACGCCTATAGACTAGATTAGTATCACAAAGCAGGGCTCTACTGTAACACTGAAAAAAAGTTGAAAATAGTGACTTATTGGTATTCTCCCAAACCTTTCTCCCGTCATGCCCTGCGTTCCTTCCTTGCTTTTCTGGGAAACTCAAAAGCCTTGAACAACCCAGATTAAATTTCTACTCACAGTGTGTGGAGGCTCAAAATACAAGTTATTAAAGAAAAATAAGAGATTTCTTGCCCACTTATTTTGGTGTACTGAGATCTGTGCCTGTTACCTATCAAAATTCCAAACTGATTTTACTGAGAATTTGAGATTACGAGTCATTCAAGCTCAAAGCAGACGAACAAATTTTTTACCTCAGTGAAAAAGGTCATTGCAAATGTAATGTCCTGTGAGCTAAAGTAAGTTAAGGTAAAGAAAGGAGTGACAAGCACCTCACTCCTACAGAACAGGGAACACAGTTAAGTTTAGCCACCATTACAGATGGTGCAAAGGCATCTCTCTGCTGGATGTGGCCTACGGGCTATAAGGAAAAGTCAAAACCAGAACTGAAAAGCTAAGTCTTGCTGGCCCAAGTAAAAATATTGCCATATTTTCAAGTAAATATTAAAATGTAAAATAACCTCATGCTTAGGTGACACATATTTTACTCATGAAAGACAAAACAATTCCAAAGATTTCAATATTCTTACCATTACACCCACAATAGTAAATTATTGTTACTGGGTTAAACTATTCTGTTTTGCTTACCAAGCAAGAAAGCAAACATTCTATACTGGATCACATTTAAGGAACTGGTTGAAAAATATGGTATTATTACTTAAAGTAACAACAATACTGTGACGGCATTAGTAAAAGTTCTATAAAATTACTCCATTTGAAAAAACAACAACCTAAGTATCTATATTAGGCAGTGTGCTACAACAAGGGAGGGGAAGGGAGGGGGCTCAAAACGGGGGGCTGGGGCAGAGGAGAGCACAAGAGACTGTGGTGATGGGGGGGGGGGCAAATGTGCTGATGGATGGGGGACAGCTGTGGTGGTGGGAGAATTACAGGGACTACACCTGAGGGGAGAATCCAAATACTGTGCAAAATTGAACAATGATGTAAGAAAATAAATAAACTTCGGGGGAAAAAAAAGGCTATCTTAAATGTTTATTCAACATATTTATTGGAAAATAAAATATATTCAGAACAAATGTATGTATCAGAAACAAGACTTAGAGTCAGGGGCGTAAAATGTTTGACAATGGAGTAATACAATAACAAATTTAATCTGTGAAATTTTGAAGACAAAAGGTTTACTTTTGTTTAAAATAAAATATGAAGTACCTCCATGAAATTTATTTTGCCCAATGCAATTTTAAAGAAATTATGTATAATTTAGTACAATTCAAATATGGGACCCATTTTAAACAATTTTTTAAGGGCATTCTGTACTGTACTATCTAATAGAGTAGCCACTGTCCACATGTGGCTACTTACATTCGAATTGGTTAAAATAAGATAAAATTTGAAAATTAAAAAAAGCCTTAAAAATTAGTAAGATAAAATTTGCAATTTAGTTCCTCTATCTAATTAGCCAAGTGTTGAAAAGCCACATGAAAAGACTACCATATGGGGCAATATACGAAACATCACCATCATAATGGAGAGTTCTATTGGACAGGGTTGTTCTGATACCTTATATAAGCAACTACCATTATAAAGTTAACCATATAAATCTTGGGGAAAAATGTGTAAATAAAGTTTTTGATTTTGTAACTTTGCTTCTAATACCAGAAATATTTCAGATGCCACAAAATACAAGTCAAATTTGAAATCTGCATATACAATTTGAAATTTAATCTTGCCTAGGATACAGTTTTACTTTTCCAAATTAGTTCTATTACCAGTAATTTGTACAATGTGTGAAATTTAATGGTAAAGCCAAAGATTATCTTAGATGAATTCCTCTGGTCAAAACTCTTTTGCCATCTATGAACGATGTTTTTGGCTTCAATTATCTACTTTTTAAGACCATTGTAGGCATCACCTAACTATATGAAGATCTATGTAGAAATACTAAAGTTTTATTAAGCTAAAGGCAACTAACAGCAATTTATTTAGAGAACAGACTGAAAAACTAAATCTTATGTCCTATCTTTATAAAACTAATTATACTTTCACCAAAATATTAAAAAAGGTGAATTTAATTTTCAAAATTTGTGTCATATGAAAATATTCTAAAAATTAGTCATATGAAACCATTTTAAATTCTCACAAGTCACAAAAATAATAAGAACTTGTCCACTTTCACACAAATTAATTGTTTGCCTAACCTACTTTGTTGAATTTCCTCTTTGCTGTGACATAGAGCTGGCCTTGTCTTAGATAACTGATGTTATTTAAACAATAATTTTTTGAATAATAACAAAATTTTATAGCATTTTGAAGGTAATTGAGAACTCTTCAATAGGCTAAAAGCTTAAAGACTATGTTATATTATAACTGACAAACTGTTTTCTAAACAAAATTGATCAAATAAAATTATATAGTATTTTCTATATCTGAAATAATCAAGGCTTTCTTTAAAACAAAGTGCTTAAAAATAAAAAAAAAATATATTTTCTATAGCTGAAACATTTAAGAACTTTCTTTAAAGCAAAGTACTTAAAAATATATTTTCTATAGCTGAAACATTCAAGAACTTTCTTTAAAACAAAGTGCTTAAAAATAGAATTTAAATTTAAGTGCTTATATTTAAAATAAAATCCAATCCATGAGCAAACTGGAATTATTTTTTAGTTTTCCAATAATCCTGCCTATATCCTTTAAAATTACTTTTTTTCCTAATTGAATTTCAGTATTATTTTCATTAAGCACTGTAAGACTTAAATTAGTATGCATTTCAATAGCAGAACCGGTCAGAAAGACACAGTAAATGTATAAAAATTTTCACCCAAATGTTTCAGAAACAAAAAAAAAAAGTTACCATCTGAATCTAGTCAGATTCTTTTAAATTATAGTGTATTCTTAGTTGAAATACTTGAAGGGACTCAAAAGTCCCCTGGTAAGATCCTTCTATGTTGACTCTTAGCAAACTTCTGTGGCGGAGTATTATCAGGAGGTGATTTAAAGAATGTTATTCTCATCAGGAGTAAGTCAGAAAGACATAGGTCTTATCTCTGAAAAGCTTATGTCAACTAATGTGATTGTCAATCTTATAAACCCTCTACTGATGGATGACAACAGGTGTTGTGGTTATATGTGAACCTCCTTCCCTTCTGAGTCACCAGGGTTTAGGCCTTAGCCCTGCCGGGATAGTTCACTTGACGAATACTAAAAGTCTACTCCCTGATGTGCGCATGCTCAGCAATATGGTTTTCCTTTCAACTATGGTTCTCTACCTACTACCTAGATTGTTTCAATGCCACTCAGCTTTCATCTATTGCTAAGAGTTAAATGTGCTATTCTCATTCTACACTAAAACAGCTAAGAAAACAACTCTGAATCTTCTACCATTCCTTTAATCAGAAGTTCCTATCAGAATACTACCCACCACCTCGCTAATGAGTAAAACGTTACATGTCTTCCTAATGCAATTCTGCCTCCACTCTGGACAGAAAAGGAACATTGGGTATCTCTTCAAGCATGAATGCAAAACTACACTACAGCAGGCTAATTTTGGAATTATAATGGCTATTTTTGGAATTATAACTTGAGAAACTTACAGGAAAATGTAACAGATACAAAAACAAAAGTTGGATGGCTGGCATTCAGGTGCTTCTGTCAGCGGAGTCATCATCTCTTGGCTTGGGCTCTGTTGAAGAGGCCGTTGCTGGAACTGGCTGTGATTTGGACATGGATCTCCTGAAGGAGTATCTCAGGCTACGGAGGCAGCTATTGATAGCTGTCACACACACCTTCCAATCACATCCACCTTCTGAGAGATCGCAAGTTGGATAGACGTCTTGCAGAAATTCTGGTGGGAAAGTTCCAACACATACTAGTTACTTAGAAATCACTCAGAATCATGAATTTATTCACCCGTAGTTCTACTTCGTGTCTATGAAAGGGTCATCAAGACTTCAGCTAATTAAAACACATGGACTATTACTATTATCAAAATAGCTGAATAGACCTTTTAGTCTAAATGGATAATAATATGAAATAGTACCATTCTTAAACACCTTATTTGATTACAAAAATTAATCTTAACATAAGGTAAGAATTGGATTTTGGTTTTTTGCCTCATAGGTTAGCTCATAATGTTCAAACTGCAAATTTTCACCTATCGTTAAGTCACAAAATCAGGACAGCAGCACTTTAAAAATGTAATAGAATAGAAAACATTGAAATGTAAGTCTCATAAAAAGTATTGTTTGTGAAACTTGCTTCAATTGTTAAAAAATTCACATACACATGTACTGAGTCACAATGTAAAGTGTATTTCTTACTGTGGGTTGCAGTAAGAGAGTCTGAAAATAATTGGACTAGATGGTAGCAAATGCTAAGTCCAATTTCCTTAGTCTAGTCTGAAACAGTGAATTCTAGTTTGTGTGATGTGAAGGTAGCAACAAAAAATCAGGCTGGGGCTGAGACCCAAGTCTTTGCTGATACCAGTGACATGAGTAAGAAATACTCTTGCTTTCTCCAGATAGAAGATTTCTCAGAATTGCTTTTGGAAGCTTTATTATTTCATTTAAATATGTCACAGATAAAGACTACAGTGCATGTCCATGTTAACCTGCTGTGTTATTTTTAACAGTTTTGCAAATTGACAAAGCCCTGCAACCTCCACCTAGCTGCTCAGCACGGGAAGGTGTCTGCATTTCCTCAGGCCCGGCAGTCCACACCAGGAGCCGCAGTCAAAAATGCCTTCCCACTATAATAATGCCATTCAAGTCAGAGTAATTAGCCCCGAAAGCCTAAATGCAAACAGCAAGAATTCATGAAGCTGCTCCTTGTTATACCCTAATGAGGGAATTAGTAAGCGCTCCATCTCTCTTCCGAGCGCGCACACACACACACACACACACACACACACACACACACACACACACACACACACACACACACACACTGAATGGGTTTTTCTTCCTGTCTTTCTTGAACATGATTTGCTTTTATTTACTCTCACATACTTGATGTATAACAAACCTCGGAGAGCGCTGATCCTGTTGGAGTTAAGGGCACACATGCCATGCTCCAGGTTGCCATAGACGTTACTTTTTATCAGGACATCCTCCGGGAACAGCTTGCGAATAAGGTATCTGGCTGACAGCTCTGGGCGAGATTTCCCTCTCGCAATTTTCAGGACTGAACGTGGCAACTGTATATTTCTAAATCTCCTTCCTATATAATCTAGAAGAAAAAGAGAAAGATGTCGATTTTTGTGGCAGATGTTAGACTCAGATTTTTAAAAGGCGGTAACAGCAAGGTTGATTTTTCTGAGTTGTTAGGCTCAAGAATTTAAGAGGTAAAAAAAATGAAAGTCTTAAGTTTTTAGTGTATCAGGGAGACAGCCTGAGAAATGAGACAGTAATCACTGCTGATGTGGTTACGCATGCTCTGATTGCCCAAGAGGCCCATTCAGTGTTCTGCTACTCTCAGGATACAATCAGTTTTAGCACTGCGTTTCGTAACGAATTCTAAGTAACTTAATGTACTGTTTTCCTACTTCTAAAAAACATTTATTCAAAAAGAAACACTATGATTCTTACTGAAACGTTTGTAATTTTTAAAATGTAGGCTCTCTTCTTGGTATTAAAGTTCATTGTTAAAAAATCAAATTCAGGGCCTCCCCGGTGGCGCAGCGGTTGAGCGCTGGGTTGCGAAGCTGCCCGCAGCCTCTGCAGCACTGGTTCAATCCCCGGCTGCTCCCCGGCCACCGGAGAAGGGTCCCACATGGCGCGCAGACCTCTCCTGCCGCCCGCTGCTCCCCTCAGCAGTGTACTTCGGTCCTTCTGCCTGCTCTGCTCCCTGCTCTGGCTCTGGTGAATTCTCTCACCTTCGCGCGCTTCTGACTGTACCCGGTGCTTGTATAAATAAATAAATAAACTAATTAATTAATTTTTAAAAAAGCTATTTAAAAAAAATCAAATTCATCTTAGACATCCTATCTTAGATAGCTTTTTGAATTGAAAAATAAATTTTAACCCTGTTTGCCTTTCTCAACTCTGCAGCCTCATCATCATCTCTCTCTAAGCCATAATGACTCAAATGAACCACACTTGAAAATAACAATTATTTGCTGAAGAAAATAGATCAGAGAAATACATGATTCTTTTTAGTCAATAAGAGTATTTTTTAGGGCCTCCCCAGTGGCGCAGCGGATTGAGTGCTGCGCTGTGAAGCTGTCCGTAGCCTCTGCAGCGCAGGTTCGATTCCCGGCCGGCCAGGGAGAGCCCCACATGGCACCCCAGACCTCTCCTGTCTTGCCCGCTGCTCCCCTCAGCAGTGTTTTCAGTCCATCTGCCTGTTCTGCTCCCCGCTCTGCCTCTGGTGAATCCTCTCACCCTCCCGCGCCTCTGTCTTGTATGCCAGCTCTTGTATAAATAAAAAGATCTTTAAAAAAAAGTATATTTTTTATCTCAGAACATCCATCATTTCATTGGTAGCAATATGAATTGCTGAATCCCCCAGGTTAGCTAAGGAGATTAGCTAAGGAGATTAGATTATTTAAAAATTCACTCAATGGGTCCAAAGACTAAACAGGGGAAGATTTGACCTAACAATACTTACCAAGAGCCAGAAAAAGTTAATACTCTTTAACCTGCTAATTTAAATTCTGAGACTCTAACTTCAGAATGGAAAATATGTAAAAAGCTATAGAGAAGATGGGGTGGGAGTATGATTTATAATCCCTTTCAAAGACCCTCAAACTAAACAAGATACAAAGAGGTAGGTAGCTAAATAAATGAAGGTACACTTATTCAATGGAATAAAACTGTTAAAAACAACGATTATGAAGATTGTGGCTTCTTACAGAAACACACATACATAGTACGCTTCCTTTAAAAAGGAAGAGTCACTTTAGGCACACCATCATGTTTTGAAATGTTCATAAGAAAAAAAAAAAACTAGAAGAAAATTAAAACGTCCGCAATGTTTTTTTTGTGATTGATGAAGGAAACTTTTTCTACCTCTTAAGTATTTCCCAATTTATAAAATAAAATAGTATATAAACTATAAATAGTATATATATATACACTCAAACCGGAGGCAGGGAGCTGCTGCCTGTCTCACAGTTGGCTTAGTTGCCTTGCCGCCTAGTTTTAGCTGAGTCACTTGTCACCCAAGCTCCCCAAGTCAGATTCGTTCTCCTGAGGATCTCAACAGTGACAAGAGGAAACCAGTCTAAAGATCAGAGAAGCTGCAGGTACAGAGCCCCTGAGGCCTTGATAGCCTCTGATGCTACTCCTGCCTGCAGCTTGGTTTGTCCTTTGCTTCTTTAAAAGTATGAGCTCAGTACCCAGTGCTTTTTGTTGTAGTGGTTTCATCTCGCTAGTCTATTTCTATGGGGTACAGCCTGAAAAAATACAGCAATGATATTTTATATTGGAAAAAATACTATGAAGATATAATTTAATAATCATTTAAACCACTTCATTTGGACAAGTTCACAGGTAACATTCTACTTAGAGTTGACTTAGGGACAGGAGAGAGACAGAAAATAGTTACCTCGAGGGCCACTAAACCCCAGCCACCTGGGGAGGAGGCACGGGAAGCCTGAGTGGCGGGTGGCACGGGCACCTATGGAACTCACTGTCCCTTTGTTACAGGGCAAACCCCGATACAAAATGGGGTTGCCTGACTGTGGGTCCTCACCCACGCACTAAAGGGGGCTTATGAATGCTAAATTGCAGACACACAAAAGTTGATAAAAGGTTTATTTACAAGGGAAGGGGAATGGGGAAATGAATAACTCAGGGAGAGAAAGATAAGTTCATAAATGCATCCTACCCGTTCCACTGACCTGGAATCCCAATGACCCGCCGAGCTGGCGAAAAACCCAGCACGCCATGTGGCCAAGCCCCCCCAACCGCCAGCCACATGGCCAGTTAAATACCCAAACCGAGAGCCTAGTTGCTTAACTCCGCCCTCAGGTCCTCACAACCCTCCCTTTGGGGATCATGGGCATTGTAGTGTCATGGGGGTGGCGTCCACAAAGCCTGTGTGGGGTTTGCTCAGGACAGCCTTTCCCCCTAACAATTCCTCCCTTTCACTTTTTGCCACTATTTTCATGGTGATGAAGATCAAATATATGGATGCTGGGATACAGTCTCAGATGAAAATTTTTCGGGGTTCCAGTGTGAAAGAAAACCAATCTCTCCAGGTATTGTCCATTGTGGGAAGCAAAAGTCCTCCATTCCTGGAAAAAAAGTTCAGCAGTCCAAGCTAAAAAAAAAAAATAAAAACAAAAACAAAAATCTGGAGGCATTAGCCCAAACAAGATAGCAAATATATCAAAATCACAGGGAAAAAAAATCTTAAAATTGGTTGAACTTACGTTAAAAAAAAAAAAAAAATGTTCTCTCAACCTTGATCCCAAGAACCTGCTGCTTTGTTCGTGGGTTCCAAAGATCTCCAAAGAAGGTAAGGAAGCTGCCTCCATTGGCAGGACTGGACAACCCAGAAAACGAAAAGGCCCTGGTACCCTTGAAAAGAGGAAGCCCAGGTGGAGTCTGGTGAGACCAACTTTGTTCTTGAAGCCTATGTGGACCGGATATCAGGAGTTTGCTCTGATCCTTTATGGAGTATTCCAACAGAGCCAGCTAAAATTGCTGTTTAGTTATTCTGCCCTGTGACTTTATGCCAAAATGGGTAATATGGTTTGAAAGTAGATTTAGTTTGCAAACTTTTGCTATCCTGTTGAAACAATTTGGGATCAAGGTTGAGAGAACTCATTTTTTACATAAGTTGAACCAATTTTAAGATTTTTTTCCTGTGATTTTGATATATTTGCTGTCTTGTTTTAGCTAATGTCTCCAGATGTTTTTTTTTTTCTTTTGGCTTGGATAATGGACTATATTCCAGTAATGGAAAACTGTCATACTGGACATTCATGGACAATGCTGCTGCTAATTGTTGCTTCTCTTACATACATTGTAACCCTGAAAAAAGACTGTCTCCTAAGACTACTCCCTGAGTTCTGTGCCACCATAGATATGGTGGAATAAAAATTAAAAGGGGGGATTGTAACAGGGTGGTCCCCAGGAAAGGGAGAGGTTCCAGGTTTCCTGCCCTACCTAAAAGGAAGGTGGAGCTGAGCAGGAAGAGAAGAAGCTACAGAAGAGACTGAGGAAGGAAGGAAGCAGGATGGAGAGCCAGAAGGAGACCTGGAGGAGGCACGTGGAGAGACATGTGAAGAAACTGCGCTTGCCTTTTGGTCATGGACTGGTTGACACAGATGTGGGTGAGACCCGTGGGGAGGTGACGATGGCAGTTTTTGTCTTGCTTTTGGTCTGGGCCAATCCTGCTTGGGTGGACTTTTACCCACCAGGGGACGGGTAACTTTGGGTGCTTAATTTAGAAACTATAGTCTTTGCCTTCTTGTATTGTTTACTAATTATATTAAAGTTCCTTCCCATTAAAGTCTCATATGTTTTGTGTCGATGTGGCAGATGGCAGAACCTATTTAAAGCAGGCAGCTTTGGGGGGTCTGGGGTGCCCCTCTCCTGCCCTGTAACACCTTGACACCAGTGAAGCAGAACCCACCTCCATCAGACATAGCAGCGGGGGTAGGGGGTGGTGCGATGTTCTGAGCCATGGAATTCATGCAAAACTCTTTAGGGAGCCCCTGCAATGTGTCCTGCATACAGAGAGCAACACTCCTGAATTGCTTCTGGCTCAATGGGTGTTGCTCCCTCCCCTTGACCTGCAGAGTAAGGTGTGTGACCTGAGAGCTCACACCCATCAAAGGAGTGGGCTGAGAGCTGCTTTCTGAGGGGAAATAACAGATTTAACTTAACATTCAGAACCCAGTCTGCGAACTGAGCTACCTTTCATTCACTCATTAAGCTAAGAGATGAAGTTGTTTAGATTTCTTATTATGAACATTTTCTTTTTTTTTAAGATTTATTTATTTTATTTATACAAGCACTGGGTACAGTCAGAAGCGCGGGAGGGTGAGAGAATTCACCAGAGCCAGAGCAGGGAGCAGAACAGGCAGAAGGACGGAGGTACACTGCTGAGGGGAGCAGCGGGGACAGAAGGGGTCTGCGCGCCATGTGGGACCTTCACCCCGTGGCTGGGGATCGAACCGGCGCTGCAGAGGCTGCGGGCAGCTTCGCAACCCAGCGCTCAACCACTGTGCCACCGGGAGGCCCTATGAACATTTTCAAACATACATTGAGAGACTAGTACGACGAGCCCCATAAATGCAACACCCAGATTCAACATGTGTCATCAACTATGGGGTAGGTAAAAGGTATCAGGCTTTTCTGCCCTCCCCCCATTAGGATAGATGAGGGAACCCTGTGGTCCTGAAGGCATGCCTGATGGCGGGTACCTGAAGTGGGTACACCTGGGTTAAGACTGGGCTTTTAAGGGTGGCGTCATGAGGATGCCAGTAGAAGCCGAAAGAGAAGCCGAGAAAGAAGCAGCAGAAGCTGAGAGAGAAGCAGAGAACGCCCCGGAGAGCCCCAAAAGACTGAAGACCTGCTGGGGGCTGGGAGGCCTGCCAGCCTCCTGGCCCCCCAGTACCCCTGCCTGCTGTGTACCTGGTAATCCCAACAAAAACCTGCTCAGTGGTCCTTCCTGCCCCTTTACATCAACAAAACTTATTTTAAAACTCACCCAGTGGATCAAAATCTTCTTGTGAATTGTCAATGGAAGTTTCCTCAGTTCCTTCAGGGAAAGCACTGCTATGTGGCTGAAAATTCCCATTGTCTCTCATTCCTGAGGCAGCTGACAGTTGAGGACACTGGGAACTGCTTGCCCCATCATCTCTTTTATCATTCAAATCTGAAGACATTGGTTTGGTAGGGCCTTTATTGTCCTCAGCAGTTTTCACCTGAAACACAAAATGGTCTCTCTAAATAAAGTCTCATAGTGAGAAAATACTGGCAGCTCCATCACCCATCAGGCGCCCCCACCCCGGGTTGGTGGGGAAGCAACCGTGTCTAGTGAGGTGGCTGAAGCCCAGGAAGGTGGTGTGCCATGATAGGAAAAAAAGCACAGGTGTGGATTCTCCCTCAAGATGCCGTGACTTGCTGCCTCTTGGGTAGCTGGTAGTTTTATCTAAAATCAACCAAACCATAATTGCTGACACAAAATAAGTGTTTAATAAATAATTCATAAATAAATGAGTATATGCGTTTCTTGAAGATGACAATTTTGGGTTTGTTTTTAATGGTTTGGTTTGTTTTTGCTTTCCCCAGTGGCTTGAAAATCTGACTGCGGATTTGAACATTTGAATTACATTAGGGATCTTTAAAAAAACAAACAAAAAAAAAAACCTGTGCTTGGGTTGGCAAATTCAATCAGAACCTGGTGGAGGAAGAGGAGGGGGGTGTTCAGGCATCAATTACATTTTATAACTTGCCTCCCATAATTCTAATACGTACCCAAGGTTAACAACCACTACACGAAGTCGGGGACTCCCAAATTTCAGTGTGCCCACAAATCACCTGGGAGTCTTGCTAAAATGCAAATTCTGCCTCTGTGAGGCAGGAACTGAGGGCTGCGTTTCTCACAAGTTCTGCTGGTCCGCGGACCCACTTTGAGTGGTGAGGACCTATCCTGCTTCTAGTCAAGTACCCAGCAGGCACTTGGCAGATGCTGCCTCTCTTCTTGACGCCTAAGCAAATATGCAAATTACCATTTTCCAGGCTGCATCTTAATTTTACATTCAAATGTTTAGGGTGCAGTTTTTGTAGGATATAAAAGGGAATGTGAAAAATAAGCAGATTTGGTTTCAGACAGATGGTGCTTGAGCTATCACGGAAATCAAGCCGTTCACCAGGAAAACATAAGCTCAGCTACAAATATTCTTGGCAAATAGTTTCCATAAACTTACTCTAGAGACACAGGAGTGACTAGACATAGCGAGAATAAAACGGGGCTTTTAGAGAGGTGGATGGAAATTCGCAATTGTCATTAAGTTAAATCCTTCATCAGAAGGCAATAGACTTGACACTCTTCCCTACTGGCCCATTCCTGTTCAAAAATCTCTGATGTTCTTTGAAAATGGAATGGATGAGACAAAAACCAGATTCCGATTTAGCATGTAACTATACAGAGAATACAAAATATCTGTTATAGCTTAACCTCATGACATGCATTATTTTAACCAGGTTCTGCCATCACTGAAAGTGAGGTAGGAAATGAAGTGTCTTCATTTTCTCCCGTGCCACGCTAACTACCACTAGAACAGCTAGGCAGCAGTACAGTCAGCTTTTTTGTGTTACTCAGTGGGACACTGAAAAAGATTTGCCAAATATCTTTGTAGATTAAACTTTTTCCTTGGCTTCAAATATACTAATTATAATGGTATATTTGATTTATTTTATCTTTAAGTTGTCTTTATGGAGCATAAACATCAAAGAGTGAACTTAACAGGCAGTATGCTTTTGAGAGAACATACCCTGTCTCTAAATTAAATAAACAAGATGAGCGCAGAGAGCCTGAAGACCCTGCACGGTGCTATCAGTTCTGGAGTTGTATACAGTATGCTCTTACACAGCAGGGGCCACATTCAGATGAAAAGGAACTTACTAGCATTCTTTTGGCGTCAGAACATGAAGAGTGGATCAGAGCATTGATATCAGAAACACAGGCTTTCCAGTCTTTTCCACATTCTCCCAAATCATGTTTGGGAAAAACTGTTGTCAGATATTCTGCAAATAGTAGAAAGTATTCATGAAACTTGGGGGGAGCGGGGGATTAACAAAGACAATGGCAGGAAGATTTTTATGTTTTGCTGAATATCTCATTTCTTCTAGAGTGTGAGTCTCTAAAACCTGACTTATGAAGCTGATAATGAGGCTTTGGTGCTTTCATAAAAAGTACAACAAAAAGTCAAGCATTTTAGGGTGCCAATGGCATTTCCAAACCTATGGATAGGCTAGAACTAAAAATAAAAGGAAACCTGTAAAGAGAAAGTTGCATTACTGCAAATATTATTACATCATGGCCTATCTTATATTTGTGCACATTACATGTCTATCTTCCCCATAAGCTACTTCCTCTACTTTTTTTTAGCTTTTTCTTTTATTTTTTAGTATCACGGTCTAGTCCTGAAGAATTGACTTAGTACTAAATTACTAACCATATGCAATGATAATCAATAAAGCTTGTCTTTTTCTTCTAGTCTATAGACAAGTTTTATTTTTTAAAAGTGGTTACCCATTGCATACAGTGAAATTATAAAACCTAAGTCAACAGGTGTTTGGGTCTAGGGGTGGGCCACCATGGTGATGGCCACTGACTGAGCTGCACATCAGGACTTCCTTGGAGAACAAAACACGAGCCAAATAGCAGGCTGCCAGTTTAGGTCTGGCCTTCCTTTGTGCAATCATCAGATGAGTGTCAAGTATCCTGATATTTCTTCTTGGATCTCCAAGATAAACTATAGAAGAACAGGGGAAAAGTACAGTCCTGCTGTTTTTATGCAAGACTATCATGAAATGCCCAAGGAACTAAAATGAATGATATGGAATTCACAAATTTCTCCTTAGGTGAATTTTTTTCTATACTTTTCTTTGCCTAGTCTTGAACTAGTAGAGGTGAAACTTGAACTAATTTGTTCATTGTCGTGAATAAATTTGAATTGTTAGGCCACAAATACATATATAAACATCTTGATCTGAGAACCCACTGCTCCCTTTTAAACTCTAAATGTACACTCAGATCGCTAATACTGAGTGAGTTTATGTTCTCTGAAGACAATTTGGAAAGTATGGGGGGGTATATTTAAGAAAAATGTTAAAATAGCTAGCATGAGTATCTACTATACATTGGGGCTATGCTAAATACTTTACTTCTATAAGCTCAGTTTCATCACCCTAGCAACTGTTCCCACCTAGTAGATGAGGAACTGAGGCCCAGAGGAGGTGAGTTATTTGAACAAGGTCCCACTACTCATTATACAGCCAATTTAAAAATCTAAATTTGTTTATAAGCCAAGTGCTCTGAACCATTAATCTGGAAATGTCTTCCATCCTTTTTTCTATTTTTTTAAACACAAAGCTGAAATCATACTTAACATATACTTTGAATTCTGATTTTTCAGTTAAGATTATATTTTGATCATTTCTTCATTTTCCTTCTTTTTTTTTTTCCAACTCTGCATCCCTGTCATCATGATTTTCTGACAGGTGACATTTAATTTGTACTTAAGTCTCGGGCATTGTGTTAAGAACTTTAAATGAGCTATCCCACTTGATCCTGCCAATTCCATGAAGTAGGTACTATCATTTTCACCACTTCAAGGATGAAGAAACTAATATTTAGGTTAGAGAAGCAGCTGAAAGTCATATGTGTAGTAAGACATGGTGTTGAGATTTGAAGCCAGTCTGGCCTAGGAGCCCATGCTCTTAACCACTATGCTTTCCTATATGCTATACCACAGATAGACAAGAAATAACTAATTCCCTATGCTTGTTCATTTGGTTCTTTCTAAATTTTCCATGATTCTGTAAAAGCATCCTTGTATCAAAATTTTAATATGAAAATTTTTTAAGTATGGCTTTGTATGTAAGTGAGATTACAAACTCAACTGACATAAAAACCTTGTGGATATTTACACAAATTACCTTTCAGAAAGTTTTCACCTATATATACTTTTAACAACAGTATATCAGAGTGCCAGTTTAGCACAATGAGCACAATTTTTGAAGTTTCTTTTAGTGTGTAGAACAAAATAATTTTAAGGAAAAGTCTTTCCTCGAGGACAAGAATCAAACACTGTAATATACCACATCAACAAAAGGAAAGATAAAAATCACATGGTTACTGTCATTTTCCAATACAGTTGAGTAATTCACTGTTTCAGAATGATTTTCCATGTTGTTTTCTGCATTTACCACTATTTCTAGAGGCAAAAATGCTAAAAGAAAATAATTCTTAAGTCTAAGTACTATATCCAGCAAATTAACCTTCCAATATGAAGAGGAAAAGAAATTCTCAGCTAAAAGAAAATTAAAAGTATTTGTCGCTAGCAGACCTCATCTTAAACAATGGCTAAAAGAAGATCTTCAGACAGAAAGGTCATGATGATAGGAGGAAACTTCAAGCATCAGGAAGGAAGAAAAAAACAATAGAAAGAGCAGAAGTATACATTCAGAGAAAATCAATCATTAATACATTGCTGGGGGAGATGTTAACAGTCACACTGAAAAAGTTTGACAGATTCTTTTAAAACAAAACCTGTAATTACCACATGACACAGCAATCTGACTCTTGGCAATTTATCCCAGAGAAACAGAAGCTCATGATGACACAAAAACCTGTATGTGAATGTTCTTAGCAGGTTTATTCATGAGAGCCAAAAACTGTAAACACTCATATGTCCTTCAACAAGTGAATGGTTAAACAACCTGTGGTAAATCCAATATCATAGGATATTATCCAACAATAAAAAACAATCAAGATAAGAATGTCCATTAGCACTACTCTCATCCAACAGCCACTGGAAGTTAAACCATTGCAATAATGCAAGAATGAGGAATCAAAGGCATACAGATTGGCCAGGAAGAAATAAAATGGTCCCTATTTGTAGATGGCATAATATCAAAAAGATGGCAGTGTAGAAAATTCCAAAGAATTTTTTTAAAAAGACTCCTTAAACTAATAAGTGAGTTCAGTAATGTCACAGGACACGGATACAAGAGAAAGATCATTAAGAATGTTGATTAATCTAGGTTAATTAACCCAAGTTACTCTTTACTCTTTAATAAGACTATGTATTATTTCCAACTTACCCAAATTGGGATTGAAGAAGACAGACTGTAAATCAGCATCTTGGTCACTGTTACCTTCCATCACAGTTGTCTCAGAATTCATTTCTGGTCTGGATTCTGTTTAAACAACATTTCAGTAAGTAAAACATTTTCAAGGGCTGAAAAACAAGAAACCTCAACGGTGACCTTTGTATCAGATGAAATTCTCCTTCAGGAATGAAGGAGAATTAAACCATCCTTACACAAGGGAAAACTTAAAAAAAATTGTCACTAGCTAACTCACCCTTAAAAAATGGCTAAAGAAAGATCTTCAGTATGGGGAATATAAAAAATAAAATTTAAATAAAAAAAAAGAAAGGTCTTCAAAGCAAAAAGAAAATGGTGAAGGAAAGAATCTTTGAGCATGAGGAAAGAAGAAAGAAATAAAAAAAGCAGAGAAAATATATCATTCATACATTACTGGTGGGAAGTGTAAAATGGTACATCAACACTGGAAAATAATTTGTCAGCATTTTAAAAAACTCACCTTACCATTACCATAGGCCCAAGTTTCTGTGCTCTTGGGCATTACCCCAGAGCAATGAAAGCTGATGCTCCCACAGAAAACCTGTACACAAATATTCGTAGCAACTGGAATACCATGGAATACACAACCATGGAATAATACACAACAATAAAAAAGAAGGAACAACTGATAAACTGATTCCAATGAATCGCCAGGTACTTATGCTGAGGGCAAGGTGAGGCACCCTATGGTGATAGGAATGTTCTATGTCTTGATGATGGTGCTGGACAGCAAACATACTCATGTGATAAAATCAAGAATTAAACACATGCCCACAAATCAATACAAATAAATTGGGGAAATCTCAATAAAATCTATGGGTGGCATTGATATCCATATCCTGGTTGTGATACTCTATTAAAGTTTTGCAAGATGATTTTGGAAGGAATGGGTAAAGCATAAGTGGAATCTCTGTATAATTTCTTACAACTACATGTATACCTTAACCTACCACAAAATTGAAAGTTTAATTTAAAAAAAGAGCTACCGCTAATTTACCTTAAGGATGTTAATGGATCCAGATCAAACAGTGCTATTTGAAATATGCAGCATTTCAAACTCACCAAAATTGGGAGGAGTGCAGTGAGAAGAAGAGGCAGTATCTGGGCCACTGCCATTTACAGACACATTTGGGTAATGCATTGTCTGAGAGTTGTTTTCCAGACTGGTTTCTGCTTTTTCTGGTGTTTCTATAACTAGAACTTTTTCAAGAGCTGAAAGACAAGAATTCTCAACTGTGAATTCTATATTGGGTGAGATTATCTTTCAGGAAAGAAGGGGAAATAAAGACATTCTAAGACAAAGGGGGAAAAACTTTACATTGTCTCTAGCAAAATTACCCTTAAAAAAAGCTAAAGGAGAACCTCCATCAGAAGGAATCTTAATGCACCAGGAAAAAAGAAATAACAATAGAAAGATCAGAAATATGGATGTGGAGAAACTGGATCACCCATATGTTGCTGTGGGGAATGTAAAATGGTACAGCCTCTCTGGAAAATTGTTTTGCAATTTCTCATAAAACTAAACATGTTATTATCATAAGACCCAACAACTGCACTCTCAGCACTCATGATAAAAAATGAACTTATATTTATATGAAAACCAGTACATGAATGTTCATAGCAGCTTTGCTTATAGTATCCAAAAACTTGGAAAGAAAAAAGCAGATGTCCCTCAAGTGATGAATGGTTTCTTAAAAACCATTGCATATCTGTATTGTAGAAAACGCTGATATCGATAGAAAGGAACCATTGAGAAAGTGAAACTAAAATTTATACCAAAATGTGTGTGTATATGAATACTTATAGCTGCTTTATTGCCAATAGTCCAAAACTGGAAAAAATTCAGATGTCCTTCAGTGGGTGACTGGTTAAACAAAATGTAGTACATCCATAGCATGGAATACTGTTCGGCAATACCAGGAATAAAGTATTAATACATGCAACAAATTGGATGCAATTCCAGGGAATGAATGGAAAAAAACCAATCGCAAAGGGTTACGCTGCATATGATTCCACTTATGTATTAGTCTGAAGAGACAAAATTAAAGAATAAGAGCTCAATGGTAGCCAAGTATTGGGGGTGGGTCCTGGAGAAGGGAAGGTGTGTGTGGTTGTAAAAGGGCAATACAAGGGATCCTTGAGTGATGGAAATGATGCTGACTTTGACTGTGGATGTGCAAGCCTACTCATATGAAAAGCTGCACGTGCTAAATATACACATGAATACACACACACAGATACAAGTAAAACTGGGGCATCTCAGTAACACTGTGGATTGTATCAGTCAATATTCAGGTTGTGACACTGTGCTATCTTATAGTTTTGCAAGATGTTATCATTGGAGAAGATAAACAAAAAGCATAAACAGAATCCCTTTGTATTATTTCTTACACCTGCATGTGAGTTTGAAATGAAAACAAAATTAAAAGTTAAATTTAAAAAAGAACTGCATCTGGCTTGTATTAAGGATGTTGGTGGGCCTAGATTAAACAGTGATACTTGAAATATGTCTCATTGCAAACTCACCAAAATTGGGTGGAATGGAGAGCGATGAAATGTCAGTATTTGGTCCACTGATATTTCCCAACAAAGCTGGGAAATGCGTTGTCTGAGAGTTGTTTTCCACATTTCCCGGTATTTCAATAAGTATTAATTTTTCAACCACTGAAAGAAAAGAATTCTTAACTGTGAATTTTATATAAGGTGAAACTACCCTTCAGGTAATAGGTAAAATCAACATCCTCTACCTCTAAATCACAATGTTGTAAACTAGTGTTATCTCAATAAAATAAATAAACATCCTGAAGCAAAGGAAAACTTAAAGAACCTGGCCTAGCAGACTTACCCACATGTTGTAAAAAGGTAAAAAGGAAAATCTTCACACAGAAAGGATATGATCAATGAAGCAAATTTTGGAAGACCAGGAAGGAAGAACAATAAGAAGAGAAACATGGATGTGGAGAAACTGGATTGCCCATTCATTGCTGGGGAGAATATAAAATGGTACAGCCTCTCTGGAAAATTGTTAGGCAGTTTCTTATAAAACAAAACATGCTACTATCCTAAGACCCAACAACTGCACTCCTGGTGTTCATGACAGAAACAAAAACTTGTATTTATATCAAAATCAGTACATGAATGTTCATGGGGAAAGAAAAAACCTAATGTCCTTCATGGGTGGATGGTTGAAAACAATATTACATATCAAAACCAGGGGAAACTACCCATCAATAAAAGGGGAGGCAGGGCGGATACATACAACAACTTCAATGAATTTTTAGGGAATTATGCTAAGTGGGGGGAATAAAAACAAAGCCAAGCCTCAAAGGTTAGGGATCAGAAGGTACCCTTTATATAACACTCTTGAAATCACAAAATTATAGAGAACAGAGTTTGCCAGAGGTGGGGGAACAGGAGGTGGGGAAAGAAAGGGCAACGTGGGAGAGAAGTGTGAGGTTTTGAAAGAACTAGATGAGGTGTGCTGTGGCGGTGACAGAATGTTCTGTATCTTGACTGTGGTGTGGAGATCAAACCTACTCATGTGATAAAATTAGATAAACATAAACACACAAATGACAACACTGGGGTAGCTCAATAAAATCTGTGTTTTGTATCGATGTCAGTACCCTGGCTGTGACATTTTACTATCATTTCGCAAGGTATATCACTCAGAGAAAAAGGTATAAGGTAAAGGGGCTCTCATATCATACTACTTCCAAATACATGCAAATCTAAAATTATTCCCAAATTAAAAGTTTAATTTCAAATATAAGCTACTACCAGCTTGTATTAAGGATGTTGATGAATTCAGATTAAATAGTGCCACTTGAAATATGTATCATTTAGGGCCTCCCCTGGTGGCACAGTGGTTGAGCGCTGGGCCGATCCCCGGCTACCAGTCCCACATGTTATGCAGACCTCTCCTGCTGCCCGCCTCTCCCCTCAGCAGTGTACTTCGTCAGTCTGCCTGTTCTGTTCCCCGCTCTGGCTCTGGTGAATTCTCTCACGCTCCCGCGCTTATGACTGTACCAGGTGCTTGTATAAATAAATAAATAAATCTTTAAAAAAAAAAAAAAAGAAATATGTATCATTTAAAACTCACCAAAATTGGGTGGAAGGCAAACAGGTGAAGAAGAGGCATGTTGGTCACTCTCGTTTC